ATGAGAGGCTTATTATTGAAAGGCTTTGTCAAATTCTTTAATTGACTCTCTAACATTTAGGTGGTCATGATATGTTGTTGGATATCGCTCATGATCTATAAATATAAATCAATTATCAAATTTGATTATAATTTATATTTATTGCCAATATGTTAGAAGCCTAACACACACATTAAGTGACATGATTGAGATTAAATAAGGATAATTAATTAAGTTCGACTTAATTGAAATAGATCAAAATAAAGTTTGGAAATTAATTAAGTTCACAAGCACTTAATTGAATAAAAATACAAATGTTGTATCTAAGGTTACAACTTAGTTTGGCAATATAAATATGTTATATTAGCGAACTAAAACTCTAAGCCTTCAGCCAGTTATTAGCCGTTTTATAAAAAGAAGAAAATAAAAATAGTTTTCTTTCCTTGATAGAAATAAGATTCGGCAAACACTTTTGATCTGTTTTATTTTAGAAACAAAACTTGCTGGCACAAAAAAGTCCTACCTTTGAGAAGGTCTTATTCGATCATTGTGTAAATTACTATTAAAAGCCAAACACTTGGATGATAGAAGATTTTACAAACATTAAAAACGAAGATACAAAGATTTTGATTGCAAGATTTTAGACTATCTTATTCTTTTTTCGGGTTACTTACTTCATCACAAGCATTTTTTGATTTAATTGGTTCTTGATTACGCTATCAAGAGCAAAGAACGTAATATTTGAACTTTTGAGTGTTCATAATTAATTTGAAAATTAGATGAAAAAAGCAAAAATTGATCTTGATGATTTAGCCAATTTCCTTGATTAAATTTATTTTTATTTTTCTATTGTGTTATACTTTATTTTTTGATTATTTTCATGTTTGAGTATAAGGTCGAATCCCAACACGTCATATATCCTGAAATGAGTAAAGAGCATATTTCAGTGTCCACTCTTGATATCTTTCCATATTTGTTTTAGATCTTGAAATTTGCTCAGTGTAGATGCATGAAAACTCATTTTTTTGAATCCTAATTTTACGTTGGTCAAGGATTTGCATAAGAGCAAATACAAGTCAACTAGTCTATGAGATACTTCCCATTGCTTATCACTTAGGGTGATGTTTCTTTTCTAGACAATTCATATGCATCCTTATAATTCATGCTACACCCAATGATATCTTTTTAAGGCATCCTTGATTAGGACTCGAGAGATGGAATCAAAGTATAACCCTCTTGATACAAGATAACAATGGTGTCACAAATCTAAGGATGATTTACACAACTGTCACTAGGGAATTATCCCCGTGGACAATTAAGTGAGATACCAAATGGAATTTTCTTGTCGGCCCATGTTTAGTAAACTTGTTCTAGCTTGAACAAGCACCCACATGTTTGTTTTAAGTATCCTTTTATATCAATCTAAGAGATCGATTGCCCACCAATGCAAGGAACATAAGATGTATTGGCCTTTAAGCATTATAAATGCCCTATCTCTATAATACAATGGCTAGGAATGTTTAGGATATACGTTTTGATACAAAAGAGTCTCATAATTGTAACTTTTTACAATCTCTTTGCAAAACAAAAGTTTATCTAAGGGCTTTATCCAATCAGTGAATAATAAACTATTTTACAAGAAACAAAGTGTATCTCTAGTCTAATCCGATTGGCTTCTAAGGCATACACTTACAACTTCCCGTTCTTAGTTCTTTCTCCATTGCCTTAGCAACACTTGCATCTCTTTTACGATCTTAATTTATATATATATATATATATATGTATATATAAAGAACTCTTTACAATTCCCTCTTTGCATTTCTCTTTATAATTGACTTTACCAAAAGTTGAGACGGTGTTTGTTGGTATTCATAGTAAAGTAGATAGAAACTTGGAGTGTAAGTTAGACAAAGTGGTAGAAATAATAGGTATGGGAAAAAAAGAAGAAAAACAGATGATGGAAGAAAAAATCTTAAGATTTTATTTAGTTGATATTTTTACTATTTACTTTTATAAAAAAATAAAAAAATAAAAAGAGAAGAAAAAGTAAATGGTAAAAAGCAAATGAGAAAAGTACTAATCAAAATGGCGCATAGAAGTAAAAGACATAAAAAGCAATAAAAATCCTATCTTTAAATTATTGTGTTGGTAAGGCAAGGGGGTGGGTTGAAAGGGAAAGTAATCTTTTTCTCTATTAAACAAACCCATCTTTAAATTATTATCCATATTCCACAGATAAAGTAAATTTTGTTTTTGTTATGAAATATAAGTATGAGAGAAAGTATTTGGAGGGAGTAAGATCTTATTTGAGTGAGTATTTACAAATGAAGTGAGTGGCTTATTTGTAGGCTAATAACCTCTTATTTAGATAGAATTTCAAAGGCAAAGATGATACTTAATGGATTTGATTTGGATGGATTAAATACTAATCTTAATCCAATCTAATCTACAGTCAAATTTAGATGTACATAATTAAATAGAATAGTTCAAATTAGATTACAGTCTTGTGTTTACTTGCTAGACTATTTAGCTTATCTAGGCTATCTAGCTTGGTCTGAAATCTTAGGCCATGACATAATGGACATTCATACATATAGTCATAATACTTCCCCCTGAATGTCCATTGTGTTAATAATATGCTTCGTTCAAACTCTACTAGAAAAAAACCTATGGGAAAAAATCCAAGTGAAGGAAAAAGAGCACATAATTATTTTCAAGAATATACTTTTGAAATAATGTCTCATTCAAAACCTTACCAAGAAATATCCAGTTGTAGTAAAGGAAAAAAGTACAATGTGTATTTTACTCCCCATGATGACTGTATTATTGAAGATTTTTAAAACTATGCATTCTAATGTTTTGTACCAACTATTTAAACATTGTAGTAGGAAAGGCTTGTTGGTTTCAATGGAGTGCTAGAGGGGATGTGAATAACACTTAAACAATATTTTAATGGCAACTCTTAAGCTTCAAAAACTTTTTGTATAATTTGGAAATGGAAAGTTTAAAACATGTTGAGGTTAAACGGCACAAAATAAAGAGAAGGTAAGGAGAAGTGAACAAAACACAAGTATTTATAGTGATTTGGCTCCTTTGACTTACATTCACTATCTTGATCTTCCAATCAAAGATTTTCAACCCAACTTCACTAAACCAATGGAATTAATAGCTTGTACCTAGCTATTATAAAGTGAGCTTATAACGTAAGCTCCAAACCCTTACAATGATCCCTAAGCTTTCCTAAGCTTAGTCTATCGCTTGGAGTGTCTCTCACACTTTAAGTAAACAAAGACTAAAAAAAAGATAGAACATAATTGATCACTTAGCTAATCTAAGATGTACAAAGTTTAGCTCAAACCTCCTTTACAAAGATAAAAGTGCAGTACACTTGAAAAAAGAACTTTCTAACACTTCTTGGCTCTAATTCCAAGGATGGTTTTCTTTTGCATTTATGACCTTTTGAAGCTCTTTAAATACTTGGAGGATAGTTTTAGCTGTTAGATATAGTTTTGAATTATTATAGCCATTATTTTATCTTCTAGTGGCTCTTTCAAAATTGCTGGTGGTAGCTTTTTAATCAGTTAAGATAAGCTTTAGTTGATTAAAGCCTTACTGTCTAGCAGTTTGCGTCATAGTGATAATCGACTAAAGAAGACCTTAACCAATTAAAACCTTTTTGTCTTCAAACTCCTTCAAGTGACGTTTTTTACCAACCTTCTTCTAATTGATAAATCCTCCTTTTAACTTATTGCAGCTTCTCTTACTTCAACTTTAACTGATTAAAGTAAACTTTAATTGATTAAACTTCACAAAATGTCATTTAACTTGCGTGAATCATTTTGCTTGAACTTGAAACTTACCTAAGGTCATTTGGGGTGTGTGATAAACAATAATAAACTAATTTTACCCTTGCACACTCAAGTAACATAGTTAGACTTAAGGAATGAGGAATGTTTTGCTATCATAAAAAACATATGGAGTCAACAATCTTTTCTTTTCTGATGATGACAAAGCACACCTACATTTAAAAGTGTAATATCCTTAAAACTATGTTAAGTGCTTAGACATTTCAAAAGCAAATGCATGAGAGTTTTTAACATGAATAATTTAAGTGCAAACTCATTCAAGCAAGGTTGGTAATTTTTATCATTTCAAAACTATAATCAATTTAAAGCAAATAAAGCCAACAATCTCTCTTTTTATGATAAAAACTTTGAGCAAAATTTCCTTGTGAAAATACTCCCCTTAAGTTTAGTCATGAAGTACTTTGATTTGAAATGTTAAGCTTTTATAGACTATGAGAAATGATAAAATATTTAAGGATTTGAAAAACTCTCCCTCAATAGTTGCAAGGTTCAAACTTAATTAAAGCTACTAGGTCAAATATTTCTTTTTGAAGATGTAGATTTTCTCATATCTCTCCCTTATTTTGTTATATCAAAAATGAAGATAAAAGCACAATATGCACAACAATTTGCAAACCACAATAAGAAAAATAAGGAATATACCAATTGTTAGAAATTAATATTAGGCTAAATAAACCAATTGATAGATATAAATAAAAGCTCCCCTTTTGTAAAAATAAATAACAAAAAATTAAATGTGAGGATAAAGTCAACTTAAAGCTCATTATACTAATTGACAAAACATTGGTGAAGGCTCCCTTCTTTTTAAAAGGACATTAAGCACACCAACCATATCAATTTGCTAATTGCAGAACACATTCAACTATGTCGACAAACAAAATATGTCATGATCAAACTTGACTTGAGTTATAAAATTAACCACTATAAGCGATTTCATCACTTAAGTCAAGTTATAAACTTCAATCATTAAGGTCAAGCAAGATTAAAAGTCTTGTAAGTATTTGATTTGACCAAAATAATAGATGAACCAAAAAAAAATTTCATTTCATTTAATTAGTTCGTCCTAATCAAATTCGTATGCATAATCAACAAATCAATCTTGAAATAATCATGTAAGCGCATACTTAAAGCATATTTCAAGAATTGTTCCTATACTAAGCATTTGAACATTGCAATTCTTAAGAAAATGATTTTTCAATGTAAGGATGTAAGAAATTAAAACATTTATGAACAATTTCTCATATTTCAATCTTTATCATTATAAACACACGAGAATTTATAAGATCAATATGAGTGCCATGTTTGGAATAACCAAATTCAAGCATTCATGAGAGTTTTTCCATTTTTCAACAAGTTTTACAATTTTAAGATCATGTTTTTGCGCCAAATAATCATGAGAGTGTTCATCATGCAAGATTATGAGGACCAAGAATCATCATTGAGAAATGCTTAATTGTTTAAACCTTAAAACCTTTTGCATATTACAATTTCAAAACATTTTAATTGGTTAATGCTCCAAATTAATCATTTAGAGTGTATTTTCCAGGTTTCCAAAACTACTTTAATCAATTAAACCATGATTTTAACCAATTAAAACTCTATCCTAAGCATAGGAAACAGCTTTTAATTGATCAAAACAAAAGGTTAAAGCATATTTGATATAAGAATCCATCAAAAACATATTCAAATCAATTCAATCAAAGAGAACAAAAAGGTTTATCTCCATTTTCAAAATTTTTGTACTTAAAACACACAAGATTTAAGTTGGACAAGCTTTGATAAAAAATCATGAGCTTAATGTCACTCAATTTTGTTTAATAATGCTCTAAATGATTTATAAAATATGCAATGAGCATAGTGAATCATGTTTATGCATATCAAGTATCATTTTCAAATACCTCACAGTCACATTCAAGCTTACAAGAAAGCATGAACATCTAATAAGAACAGTCAATAAGTGTTTTTACCATGAAACAAACTTGTTCAATTCATAAATCATTACAAACTTACGGATAGCAAATATTTTTCTCGTGTAAGCTCATTTTGCTTTAAAAATACCAATTCAAGTAATCAAAGCTTATCATGCTCAATTTTAAGCAACCTAAAACATTCAAATAAGCCTTAAATGAAAAAAAAAAAGCTGTTTAAGTGGCCAAATTATCCTAAACACAAAGAAATCATAAAGTCAATATGCTCGAATATCAATTTTCCTCAAAAAAAATATGAAATCAATTTCACAAAATATGAGGAATTTTAGATCAAAACAATTTTCCAGAGTCAAGCAATATCAATAAAACTCAAATATATAAAATAAAGTAATTTTCTCAAAAAGAATAACTTTTGGCATAAGCATGAGAATATATTCAAGATTAAACATAAACACATATTCAATATTAAGGCCCATACTTCCTTCAAGATTAATGCAATTTATAGCATGTATAATATCAAATTAGATTCCTTAACCAAAATTTATCAGTAAAGCTCAAATGAGAGTAGACAAAGAATTATGCACTTAATGTTCAAGCAAGAAAGTCTTC